ACACTGAACACGTTTCAGGTATCTGTATCTTAGAATACATGGATAGGCAGTCAGGCTGCAGAGAGTGGGCATGGTGGGTTTTTCTGGGTTGATGGTTGGACTTTTTGATGTTCAAAAAAACTAGAGGTCTTCTCCAAATGTGATGGTTCTGTGAAAAGAAAAAAAACAAATCTTAAGGCTGGAAGAACTGCCTTAAAATGGAAAACCTGAAGAGCTCAATTTATTTTGCTTATTAGAAAGTCTAATTATAGCCTGTAAGTATCTTTTTATACAGAAAATAAGGGTTAGTAGAGACCCTGTGATATGTGAGAGAAGTGTAATAAGATTTCTTTGGTAACACACCAGTAAATTCATAGCTGAAGTGAGGTTTGTAGTTTTTTAGAATGAGGATCACAATCATCAGTAGAAAAAGCTTCCAGGAAAAATAGCAGATTGTCCATGTATTTAAGAGTCAGATGCCTTTCTGGAAAGCAGGTTGGCCAAATGCAGGTCATGCTATAATCAAGTGTAAACAGTTGTGCTCAAAATCATGTAATGGAAAGGCATTTAACGTCTTGTCATACAAGCACAAGGCTAGATGAGATGACCTAATGGTCCCCCTGGTCCTTTAAGCCCAATGTGTATATGAAAAATACCAGTAATGAGAACCAGATAGTAATCTTGCAAACAGAATGTATGACAACCAAACATAATACTTGGCAAGGATACTACAAAGCATAATTCAATAATACAGACCATTGTATTCACAGGAATCCAAATACCTGTTTGGATGTGGATGAGAAAGTAATATAAGAAATCACAAGGAAAAGCACTTTTTCAGTTTTTTGTTTGATTGGTTTGGGGGTTTTTCATTTTTTTTTGAGTTGTTTTTTTAAATTCTTTAATTTAAAAAAAATTAATGTTGAGAAATCACAAGGAAAAGCACTTTTTCAGTTTTCTGTTTGATTGGTTTGGGAGTTTTTCAATTTTTTTTTGAGTTGTTTTTTTTAATTCTTTAATTTAAAAAAAATTAATGGTGAGTTTTGAAATAAAAATTCCAAATAATAATTTTTTTTTTTTTTTAAATGTTTCTGTTTGCACTGGTCAGCATGGTCTAAATTTCTGGAGTTGCCTGCTTTTTAAAACTCACATGCATTTGCACAGATCTGATTTCCAGTAGTAGTTGTTAAGATTGCCATCTTCAGCAAAAGGGGTAACATTTAACACTGTGAAGACCAAAGTGTGCTATCTTGACTACTTACTGTTTGCAGCAATAAATGCAATTTACTGCCATAATACTCTAGTCTTTCCTGGATTTTCGAATTAAAAACTCTTCCTGGTATTACAGGGCATAGCAGACAGTAGGGGTGGCAATGTTTGTTTCAATAGCAGAAGCCTGTGCAAAAGCCAGTAATAAAAGGCAGAATGGTTAAGAACAGGGAGTATCTGTTTATTTGGAGTAACACTATTTTGAAAAGGATAACACTTTAGATAGGCATGAAAAGCACCTCTTTTTCTTCCTAATTGTGTAACTATAGGTAAAGACATAATAATTTTTTATAAGACTTTGGTTTGATTGTGTTAGGTCATTAGCAATATTCTAAAGTGTATTCTTGAACATGAACAACAGAATCCATGAGAGATTCTGCCCTATGTAGAGGAGCAGTGAGCATTCTGCTTTCTTCTACTGGGTGCAACAGGGCCTCTTCTGAAAATGGAGGCAACATGGGCCACAGTTCCCATGTCTGGCACAGAGTCAGATTAAGAACCAACAAATACAACTGTACACCATAGTGTCTGGGCATATTTAACAGCAGTAGATGGTAAGACTCAGTGTGTTTTCTCAGTTACTTTTCAACAAACCATTTTTCTTTGATGTGTCTCAAAGCAAGCAAGCAAGCAAGCTTGTTCCAAAGACTGAAGTTTACTATATTCAGTTCTTGGTCAAAGTGTGACTTGCATTTAATTTCAGGTATTCCTAGATTTGAGAGCACTTGGAATAATTAATATCAAATGAGGTGAATTTTTTTAAGAACAATTTGTAACTTTCATATGTGTAGCACACGTTGTTATAACAACCACTGCAAGTCACAAACCAGGTGATCATGCCTTTGTCAAAAAAAGAACGGACTTTCTTACCCAATTCTTCCTCCACTTTGGACCCTATCTTGAATGAGTTCTGACTTGAAAACCATATGCATTATGAATTTTTCAATACAGTTTGAAAAATTGGCAGCCATAAGGGATTTCTGGTTTTGTCTTTACTCCTATAATCTCATCCATTGTTTTTGCTTGTTGGAATTTTGCTCTCTCTACTGTTCTTGTTTTCCCCCAAGTGAACAAGTATTTTTAAATGGTGAACTAGTATCTAATTTCCCTCTCTGAAAAGAGATACTGCCAAAAAAAAATATCTCTGGAATTTCTGGATATGAAGCCTTTTCAGCTTGTTCTTCCTTAGTGGTCTGTAGCCATAGGGAAACCGTATTGAGTAGTGTGAATGTGTGGTCTCACAGCTGCATCTAGCATAGCTTAGTTTGGAGTTACTCTTCTTCCCTTGGCATTTACCCACAGGGGAGCGAATCCAGTACGTAATAATGATTCCCTACTGGTTTTGAAATATTAAATAATTAAAAAAATAAATTATTTTACTGAGTTAACAGTCAGAGGGGATTTGAACATTCCTTGTTATGTGCTTTATTCTGTAGCTCAAGCTCAGTTAACTGTTCAGAGTGCAGTGTAACACACTAGAATCACCTCATCCTTAGAAGCAGTTGTCAGAAAAATATGGGCCTGCCTGGTAGAATGTATTAGCCCAATACATTGTCTCCATTTTATTATGAAGCTGCTGGGGAAGCTGTGATATACAGCACTGTCATTACAGATCTATTGTTAGAAGGGCTCTACAGTCTTCTGTGCACTGCCATTAATTTATAGCAGTAAACAATATGTAGCCCTCCAACTGCAGCAAAGCAGAATCTTTTAATGAGGTGGATGTTATTACCACAATAAATCAGTGCATTCGTGTAATGTATAATTCAATGTGTGTATTCCCACTGTAACTTCTCTGAGTAAGCTGATAGTGTATCATTGTCAGTGCACAGCTCCACAGTTCCTTCTTTTTTTTTTTTTTTTCCCTAAGCTTTCTTTCATTTGGGGACTTTTTTCATTTGCTTGCAAATAAATGTGACATGTCTTGATAGTTGTCCTGTTGCAGGCTTCAGAAACCAACTGTAACAATAACAGCAAAAATCAATAAGGTGGATTCTGGCTATATGGATCTCCACATGATGGTCCCCCCCCTCCCCCCTTTTTTTTTTTTTTTTTTTTTTTTTTTTTTTTTAAAGAGAATGGAATCAATTCTAATTAGATTTAGCTTTATATTCAAGGAATGTAATTCTATAACTATTGATTTGGGCTATACTTGTTTGGAGAATAATAAAAGTAGGGGCAGATAAGAGAACACAAATAACGTAACAGAACCATACAGCACAACACTGTTTCTATTTTTAATTTATATAATTTGTCTACCAGTGACCTTATTTCTTCTTTTTTTTCCCTCAAGCATAGCTGAGTCTTTAGGGAAAATCAGTACAGATGGAGAGTCCAAAATGGTTCTTGCAACAAAGAGGCTTCTTGGAGTCAGTTTCATTCTTCCCTGGAATAAATTTGCTAAATCAGATAAAAATCCTTTTATACAGGAAACACTTATTCTAAAGGGTTATATTTCAAATTAGTAAACTGCAAAAATACTAATTAACCTAAGATGTTTTCTTTCTCCTACTGCAATGTGAAAGCCACTCTAAGTAAAAAACATAAGATTAGATCTTAGGTCATTCATAGATCTTATCTGCCCTAGAATACATAGTTTTTTATTTGATCTATGTCTGAATTAATACCTAGGTTATTTATACTTCTGTTCAAGGACTTTTAAAGTTTTTCCTTACTTTTTAGGGTAATTTTAGGTATATTTATTCTTGCAGAACAGAAAGAAGAAAATATATTTGCATGTTTATTCTTCAGTTACACTTGAATGCATCTGTTGTCTGTACAGATGGGCATAATTTACATTAATAACATACAAACAATGTACTCAATATGTATAGAAAATTGTAATGCATATATCCTTTGCGTATATATACAAAGATATTTTAGACCTCCTACAGCATTTTACATGTGGAACAGCTAAAGTCACTTTTGGGTTTCTCAGTGGTTTATGTGATTTATACTCATTTTTCCAAATCCTTTGTGTAAAAGTCTGCTGAAGAAATATACAGCTATAGGTAACAAGATATTATATTTTTTACAATTAAATAAATCCCTGCGTATTTATGTCCTAAGATAAAGACTAAACAAAGAACAACAATGTTGGTGTCATAGACTTTCTTAGTCGTATATATCTTATTTGTTTCTTTTGTATCAGTGTTTTTATACAGAAGTTCTGCGGTTTTCTTTGCCTATATTAACGTTTCAAGTTTTAGCCATTAAGTAAAACTTGTCTTGGGATGTTAAATAGAAAGCATAGAAACAAGGATAGTAATATCAAAATTCCAGGTGCACTGTTAATATTTTTCCACTCTATCAGTCACTATTTTTTCCAAAAAAAATGTCCCAAAATGTTTGTTGTTGTTGCTTGCCATTTGCTTAATAGTGTATTTAACAACCACACTTATCCACTGGCTCACAAGTTAACAATTTTTTTTTTTTCCTTCCACTGTGAAGCAGTTTTTAGTCATTGACTTGAATCAGCAGTAAATAGAGTGAAGCCTCTGAATGCAGACGATGCTTCCTTCTAACCATCCCTGTGTGTGTGTGTGTGTGCGCGCATGGAATCCTGGTTTGCACTAAACAGATCTGTTCAGGTGCTCACAGAATCCAACATTTGCTTTTGCAAAACACTAAACTTAGTCTTCTCCATACCTGCTGGTGATTTTGGTTACCACAAAGAGCAAGGGGAGTATGACGTGATAATGTGTCATGTTACCTTTATGTACTTAATCTCTTTCTTTTTACAAACTTTGTAGCCTATTGGAGCTTTGAATCCAAAGAGAGCAGCGTTCTTTGCTGAAAGATATGAATCATGGGAAGATGACCAGGTTCCAAAATTTCACTATGGCACACATTATTCAACTGCAAGTTTTGCACTCACGTGGTTATTAAGAATTGTAAGTATATATTTTTAAAATGCTTTTCCTTTAAATTATCCTAAAAACAACAATTAGCTGGGAATGAATAAACTAAAACTCAATGGCAGAGAAGAGTACTGAAATCTTCAAGTAATCGTAATCAGTAGTGTAGGACAAGTGTATTCTAAAGTTTGAACAGGTTTATTTTTTATAGCACAGCCATTTCAAATAAGTAAAGCTTTTTCTCCTTTGAAAATTGCTTTTTAATATGCATTCTTATACTACTTAAACATGGTTAACTTTCCTTCCTTCCATATTTTTTGAACTCTCGACTATGGACTGAACATTTGTGATTCTTACTGAATGAATTTAATTTTCACCTCCTAATGACACGGAAGCATTTGTTTTCTGATGATGATTAAATTCTGTGATATAAATAGTTTTTAAAAATGCAGTGCAATTTATATGGAAGTAACTTTTAAGATGCTATGTATTGATAATACACTGGTTAAATGCATTTTTCTATAAAATTGAAAGGCAATTTATCTCCTAGAAAGTAATTTCTTTGGGAAAGCATTAGCAGCACATCATTAATTAAAGCTTGTTAGAATATACAAGCCTGCATAAATCCTTGATGTAATTTATAGCGCTTAGCTAATTTCAAGCAATTATCCACTAATATGTGCTAAAGTGTTCTTTAACTAAGAGGAGGCTTTTAAATCTTTCAAACATTTTTCTTTTCTAAATCATAAATTACATATTAAACAGTAACAGTCATAAAGCTATCAGTATTGAACGCTACCTGTTATATTAATAGATTACCTTGAGCAAAATAAAATGCATGTATTACTTTTGTTACATCCTACTTTAAAAAAACATGTAAAGTAAAGATATTTGGCTTCTTGATGTTTTTGAGAGCAGCTGTGTCACAACTGACTGTAGCTTCTCCACCACCCTGTAAATATTTTCTTTCATCTTTATTTGCTTTTCTTTATCTGAATTTATATGTATGGAGTAGGGATAAAAAACATTTAATGAACAAATAAGCCTCAGTTTATATTTCTCTACCAGAAAAATAGCATCATTAATAACGATAATAATGTTGATAACGATATAATAAATAATAATAAATCCCTCCCCCCAAAAAAATTCTGAAAGAAATGCACTGCTTTTTTTAATTAATCTTTTCATACATTTTAGGAACCCTTTACAACATTTTTCCTAAATCTACAAGGTGGAAAGTTTGATCATGCAGACAGAACCTTCTCGTCTATTTCAAGAGCGTGGCGCAACAGTCAGCGTGACACTTCCGATATCAAGGTAAAAGCTTTCATGAAAATGGTGTTAACATATTTTATACAATGTCTGCCTTTATTGAAGCTGTGATCATAGGACTACAGGCTATGAAAAAGTGAAGGGAGAATACTGGGAGCTATCCTGCTATTTGAAAAAAGCTGCAAGGGAGATGGCACAAGGTTTTATATCCTTTAGAATATTTCAGTGAATTCTTTTGTAAAACTTCAGCAAACATTTTCAGCCCTGAGGGAAATAAGGAAAATTGACCTTTGTGCTATAGAGATGTGTTTCACACAAGTCAGTAGCAACTGTATAGATTTTTAACCAGGAAGTTTCATAAATACTCTGTTCATGCTTCTGCCCCTCTCAGTTAAGAATGTTGCAGTTAATATTCATATTACTTTATGTAATTATAGCTCTAGGCATCCAACCTCATTTTTGGGAAATTTCTGCAGTAGCCTGTTTGCTTGTATGACTATGACAAACAGGAGGAGGAGACTATGCTGATTTAGTCGCAGAAGTGGCAAAAATTAGTCTTATGATGATGTAGAGGTAGATGGGGATAAAGAGCTGAGAGGGAAAATTGTCTGCAGAGAGACTGTATACTGGGCAGAGAAAGAAAGGGCTACAGAAGGCCAGTGTGTGGGGACACTAAGGTGAAACACAGAATTTAGCATAATATTTATACATTTAGCATAACAGTAATTTAGCGCTCTGTAACAAGGGCACTGGGCCTGTGGACTGGAAAGTGAACATGAAGTAGGTGAGAATAGAAGATAAATTGATCTGGTAATTAATCATTCTGTAGAAAGACATCTGGAATTAGGTGGGTCAAGAAGCTAAGGAGGGAGCACACAAATTGCAAGGGCAGAGGTTCAGGTAAGTAGCCGTTGAAGGAAGGAATAAGGTAAACAAATAGAGTCAGGGATCTAAGGAATATTTTGAACTGTGGAGAAGAATGAAGGAGACAAGGATGCTGGCGGTGGTGGGAAAGCTTTGTTGACCTCAAATCCAAGAAGAATGAGTTTTTTAATGAATTGTTTTTTAATGGAAAGGAAGATGAAAAAGTATAGTGTGAAGAAAACTGGAGACGGACTCGAGAATGTGATGCAACTAGCAAGAGGCATAAGGACATGAAATCATTCTGTAACTATATCCATATTGAGGGGACAATTAAGGAAAGGGTTGATCAGCAGATTAATAGAATGAGAAAACTGTCAACTGATAGTGCTGAAAATGTAATATCTGTCTTGCATTCGTGAGTCACCACCAAAAGAATCAATGGCAATCAGTGACTAGTGGAATTAATATAACTTATAAAAAGATACAAACTCTGTATTAGTTTGGGAAATAACTGTTTATAAAATACAAACACATTAGATTTTTTTCACTGTGATCTTCATTCTCTTGCACCTACTAGAGTGGCAGGCAAAATTTCAGAGTCCTTTATATTTTTTTGAGAAATGGAGGAGGAAAGGTGGTGGTGGTCAAATGAATTATTTAGTTTCTAAAAAGGGAGGAAAAAGAGAGCAAAGAAATTATGAGGTGAGTTTAACTACAGTTCACAGATACGTACTTAAGCAAATAATCAGACTGTGTTTAAGTACCAGGAAGATAACAAGGAGACGAGCAAATGAAACACATATTTATCAAGAAGTGATTATGTCAAAGCAATCACATTTTCTGATGAGAAAAAATAACAGACCCTGTAAATGGAGAAGAAGCAGATTATGATCCTAGTTTTTGACATTCTCTCATGAGTGAACTGGGAAAACTTGGTCTAAAAGATTCGACTCTATTTGTAGAATAGTTACCGGTGGTTCATTATTAAAACTGAAAGATGTACTGAGTGGAATGCTTCTTGATAGTTAAAGGTTAGGCCACAATTTCTGTTGGAAGGTACTAGAAGTGTAGTGGATTTGGAAGAACTTCTTACAGAGCAGAAAAGTGAGAATTGCAATTTTCATGCAGATTCTCATACAGTTATGTACAAACATTACACAAGGAACAATCTGCTGTGGAAAAAAAAGGTTTAGGGTTGTAGTAGACCACCAGTGCATGTGAAGTAACAATATTATGGTATAATTAAAGGTGAGTAATGTTTTGTAGAAGATATATCAATAGGACATAGTATAACTTTCAAAATGTATGCAATAAATCTTCAGCTTTGCCCAGCTTTGGTAAGGTCTCAGCTGGAGTATTGTATCCATAGTTGTGGCCTAGTTGAAGGGAATCCACATTGAAACAATTATAACAATGCAAGGCCTTGCAAATAAAATTTGATGAAAGATTGAGTAGCTATGCTTGTTTTTGTTCTAAAGAAGAGAATATTGAGGAGGAACTTAGGAATCTTTTATTGTGCAGGGAAGAAAAATCTCTGCTGCCTATGCTGGATAGAGTCAGAATTAATGCACTTAAATATCAGGAGATTTTGATTAGATGTGAAAGTAACCTTTCTGATAGAAAAAAAAATTGATGAATGCTTCCTTGGCAATTAGAGTATGAAGGTTTTTCAGAAATGGTTAGATATCTTTTGGAAATGATGTATATGCAAGCTGGTGCTGCCTTTAGAGGCATCCCTACTGTTATAGATGAATGCTGGAAGTTGCTTGCAGCTTTCTGAGTCTGTGAATTGCCATGAGTGACATTACAGTGCTGTGAAGTATCTGAGAGACATTGAGATAGACTAGAAGAGTCTGTTCATGAGACTAGATGAACAGCCAGGAAGGGGAGTGAGATAGGATTTCCATAGGACATGGTGAAAGAATTAGGAAAGAAAAACTTTGAAAATGTAAAGAACCATCTTTGTTGGATATATCTACATGCCAAATATTTCACCTTGGCTATGAAAACTTGACTTTCCTGATACTTGATGTTCTGCTCTACCTTGTAAGGGTTTGTGAATTGCACAGCTAAAGTGGCCTATATATCTCCAGAAGGTTTCTACATGCAGACCTGCAATGTGTTAGCTTACTAGTGCTGGAATGTGTTGACACATGCATTAAAGAGCTTGAATAAAGTAGATGCTTATGCACTCCTGTACTGTATACATGCTTGTAAATAGATACATTTGCTAACTAAGACAATTAAATTAGATGTTCCTGTCATTGTGAAAATAATGACAGAATTCTTACTTAGAAGGTATATTTTGTGTTACTGTTTTCATATGTCAAGAATATGTACAATTGAAGCAGTAACGTCCATGGGAGACAATCCATGGCCAGATAGAGTGTTTTCTTTACTTACTTTGCACAATGTATGTACATGTGGGCAGGCATGTTTTTTGGGGGGGAAGAAGGAGGAGGAAGACAGGGAAAGGAGTTAAATGAACACAGATCCTTTTTATTATTTTTTTTTTTAAATTTTTTTTTAATCCCCACCAGGGGAAATTAAAAGTCTCCTATATTAATTCTTTCCTTAGAGTTCTTTTCCCGCCTACTTTGCAGCCAACAAATATTATGAAACATGACATCCATAAGCTTTAGAACTATTTGCTGTAATCTTGAAGTATCATTCTCTGTATTCATTTTATGATAGTACTTGTTCATGGTCTGTCCGTAAAGGACTGAGTACACATCATTTGCTATCACCTTAGTGTACAATACTCTAGTCAAGCAAATGCCATTTTCTGATTGAAATTGAGTTATTAAATTATTTTGTTGTGATTCTGGATTGGACATCTGATTTCTGCATCTTAGAGTCAAAAGGATGATTTCTATAAAATTAAAGGAAAGGGGAGAAAGCCTGTGCCAACCACTATCACCAGTGGAGTTCTTAACATTTCTAAGTTGTACATTAATAAAGAAATGGTGTGTAGAAAAGCTGTCTAGTTTGTATCCATCTCCTTTTCAATAGATTAAAAAAACAGAAGTTACATTCTAACCATCTTGTATGGTCAAGTACTTGATGTTAGCAAAACAAACTTTTAAAAATATAGATAACCTTATGGTCTTTTGATTATTTCCAGAACTTGGAAGATGCTGCTTACTGGCAAAAGCTAGGGTGATTTCCTTGAAGTTTGCAACTTGCAAACACTAATACATTAATGATTGTTTAAGGATTATTCAAAGGCCTTTGACATCTAATTTATTAACTCTTTTCTACTATCAACATGGTTTTGGACTGCCTTAATTTGGTCCAAGATTTTGCTCTGTGTAACAGTGTTCTGTGTTAGCACAGCTCGTTCCTGTCTGTGAAGACAATGGCATTGCATGCAAAATTAAGAGTTTATTTCCTGTAATTTTTAAGAAAACTAGGCACTTGAGTGAGGCTTTACTTTTTTTCACAAAATGTTTAATAAGAAATGTATTTTCTTGGATTCTCATTTAAGATACATTGTCATGTGTTACAGTGTGGTTATTACATATTTTTTTTACCTCTGTCTTCTGCATGCCTATTGTAATCCAGTGCTAAATTAATGCAACTGGCATAACAGAAAAAATGTTTTGTTTCGTGAACAATTTTCATGGGTACATTTACATGGAAATTAAGCAGAGCTGAGACGAAAAAAAAAGTAATATCAAGCAAATAATAAGAGCATTTAAGTAAAAAATGGCCTTATAGAAAGTCTTCATACAGAGATTTCTACATTATGCTCTAATTTTTAACCTGCACAGAAAAGAGTTTTTTTATCTTTTAACGAAATTCTGAGATAAGTCTTGAAACGTATCATAGGTACGTTCATAGGTAGGCTGCATTTTGCTGTTTTGTCTAGTGCCTTTTAGCAGATGCCTTAACTTAATTTTTCAGTCTTTCTGTATCACTTTCCAGTGTTTCAGGCAGGGTTAAATAATAATTATGTTTTAAGTTGAAAAGATCTACTTGTGCTAAGCCATTATTTTCATTGTGATCTGTTTGAGGTTGATCAATATGTTATTCAGAAAAATATCTTATGATACGATCTAATTATTAAGCTATATACTTACAGATTATGTTCTGCTGTGGATGAGTATTCTGATAAAATTAATTTGCTAAGTTCAAACTTAATTTGATATATTAATATAATTTTTAATTTCAACCTTGAA